TCTCTAAACTCTTTCAGTTCTTTCCCTCTTCGAAACAATCCAACGCTCATGGCTTCCTCCAGCAACGTCGGACGAAGCACGGAAATGGATAACTCCAGGGAGCAACCCCAGCTTCCTACTGTCTGTATCGGACAGTTCACCGTCCCCCTCTCACTGGACGGAATCCCCAGCTCGAACGTGCCCCTCACAATGGCACCCATCGTCGCCCCACTCCCTGCTATAGTCGGAATGACGTTCTCCGAAACTTCAGTTGTGCTCCCAGCGGCCAGCCCGAACCAGTTGGAGGACCTGATGCAGTGCATGAGGGCCATGCAGACTCAAATGCAACAGTTCCAACAACTTCAGCTCTATCAGCAGCACGTACTGCACCAGGTCTCCTAGTATCAGTATCAGCAGCAGTTCCCCTAGCTGCCCCAACCTCAGCTTCAGCAGCCTTAGCTCTCACCTCAGTGCCCAGCCTCGCAGCAAGCCAAGTCTCGCCGCCAAAGCAAGCACCCCTCCGGCCGAGGAGAGGCCCCCCAAAATCTCCCAAAAAATCAGGCCTCCCCCCACGGCAGACGGGAGAGACCGACTACCCCGATCTCGCCGCGGGCGGACAGGTCGGGAGGACCCCGGCTCGGCAGGTCTACGTTGCCTCGACAGTCGAAGTTTGGAACTCCAATCCTTGAAAACCAATTCGAGATCCTGGCAACTGACTCCAAGCAGGACCCTTCTGTCCGCAGCCATCACCAGCAGACCGGGCTACTCCCTGCGCAAACCATTCTGGACAGCGCGGAGGTAAGCAGCACGAACGCCGAGCCCATCAAGAAGCAGAGACGCCGCCGCCGAGCTCGCCGATCTGTCACCCGCGATTTGCCCGAGCTCATGGGCAAAGAAGAGGTAAGCTCGGCCAAAGCCAAAGCTCCCCTCCTTTCGGCTCCGTCCCCCCTGTCTTCCGAACTCCTGGCAGTCCCGATGCCCAAGGATTTCAAGCTCCCCCCTCTTGACAAGTATGACGGGTTGTTTGACCCGAATGATCATGTAGATGCCTTTCAGTCACAGATACACCTGGCGCGAGCCAGTGAGTCGTGCATGTGTGTGGCCTTCTCCACCACTTTTAGGGGAGCAGCCCGCACGTGGTACCGGAACTTGGTACCCGAGTCGATAAGAAGTTGGGCGCAGTTCGCACAAGCCTTCACGTCCCACTTTGTCACCAGCAAACGGTGCCCGTGAACTGAAGAAAGCATCTTCAACGTAGCACAAAGAGAGGGAGAGTCCATCCGGAGTTATATCAAGCGGTTCAACGACGCTTGTATGCAGATACTGCGCCTGGACCCCGCCGTACTCCTTGCAGCAGCCAAGAAGGGCGTGACGCACAAAGAGTTCAAGTGGCACATGGTCGTCAACCAACCCACGACCATAATCGAGTTTCTAAAGCTTGCAGATAAGTTCATAGCCACCGAAGAGGAGATCAACCAGAAGGGCAAGGGCGCACCCGAAAAAAGAAAGAGAGAATGAGAGCCTTCCAGTCAAGGGGACACCCGAAAGAAAAAGGAAACAGTTTGGGGGGCAAAGCCGGGTCAATTGTTCCGAGCTCCTACACCGAACCGAGCTGATTATACCCCACTGAACGCGAAGTGGGCCGAAATCCTGATGGCGATCAAGGATGCCTCGTACGTGAAGTGGCCACCCCGTCTGAGGGGGAATCCCAATGAAAGGAATAAGAGTCTGTATTGCAGTTTTCACAAGGACCATGGTCACAGTACCGAGAGTTGTAAAAACCTCCGCGACGAGATAGAGGAGCTCATCCGTCGCGGATATTTGAGAAACTTTGTACAAAATAATAATAATAACAATAGTAATAGAACAAGTCGGCAAGGGGAGCACGGTAAAGATGCTCCCGAGTCCAGCAGCAGGCCGGCCGAACAACCGCAGAGGCAGCCTCCAGAGGAGAGGCTAGTTTGGGGGACCATCCAAATGATAATGGGAGGTTCAATCGTTGTGGGTTGCACTTCAGCAGCAGCTCGGACGTCAGTTCGTGAGGCCACCTGGGAAGAGCAGAATCCCCCAAAGCGGCCGAAGATGGGAGACCCAATTTTCTTCACAGAAGACGATGCGCGAGGAGTCCACTACCCCCATGACGACGCGCTTGTCATAAAGCTAAGAATCAACGACTTTGAGGTCAGGCGTGTACTCGTCGACTCAGGCAGCTCAGCCGACATTCTGTTCAAAGCTGCGTTTGACCAGCTCCAGTTGCAGAGAAGCGACCTAAAGCCCGCAGACACTCCTTTGGTAGGCTTCAACGGAGAAGAAGTCCGGCCCCTTGGGAAAATAACAGTACCTGTGGAAGTCGGCACGTGGCCTTGTGTGGTCAGATTCAAGCACGACTTCTTGGTGATCGCGACCCCCTCCCCCTACAAAGCCATAGTAGGTCGACCGATCACCCATGTCCTACGGGCGATGGTCTCCACTTACCACATGGCTATGAAGTTCCCAACAGACATCGGTGTGGGGGTAGCGCGGGGCGACCAGCTCGAGTCCCGCAAGTGCTACGTTGCCACCCTGAAGGGTAAAACCAAGGTGACCGATGACCTCGAACTGGAATGACCCACGGAGCAGGGTGAAGAGCGAGTCGCGCCCACGGAAGA